AGAGGTCGGCAAGTGGCGGCGCACAGCAAGGCGGGCAGCAGCATCGCGTGTGGCCCACTGGGAGCGAACAGTGGGGTCAGCATCAGCAGCAGGGGCAGGAGAGGCACCAGAGGTGAGGTCAAAAAGGGAGAGGCCGTCTGCTCTGTCGCTCAGTAGGAAAAGCTGCAGGTCATCTACCCAGACGTCAAAGTCAATGGCCCGACCCTCAGCGTCAAAAGTGAGGACACTGGGGGAAGCCATGACAGCAGTAGACTAGCAGTGAGAGCAGCAGGCTAGGGCAGAGCAGTGGTGGAGGCGCTGCTCTTACCGGGCAGGCGAGAAGGACCGAGGCGCGTCGGCAGGAACAGGGCCAGGATGGCAGGAACGGCGGCTCGGCGGCTCAGCGGCTCGGCAGCTCGTCGGCACCGGCGTCTCGGCGGCTCGGCAGCACGGCGGCAGTGGCGGCTCGACGGCTCGGCAACTCGGCGGCAACGACGGCTCGGCGGCTCGGCGGCTCGGCGGCTCGGCGGCTCGGCGGCTCGGCGGCGGCGGCGTCTCGGCGGCGCGGCTGCTCGGCGGGGCCGCGAAGGGATGGCGAAGGGGCCGCAAAGGGCGGCGGTGGGGTCGCACGGGTGGGGCGACGGGGGGTCGCGGGCGGCTGCGACCACAGGAGTCGCGCGCGGCTGCGGCGACGGGAGGGCAGGCGGCCGCGGCGACGAGGTCGCAGGCGGCTGCGACTGCAGGGTCGCGGGCGGCGGCGACGGTAGGGTCGCGGGCGGCTGCGACAGCAGGGTCGCGGGCGGCGGCGAAGGCAGGGTCGCGGGCGGCTGCGGCGACAGGGTCGCGGGCGGCTGCAGCGGTAGGGTCGCAGGCGGCCGCGGCGACGAGGTCGCGGGCGGCGCGAAGGGCGACGGGGTCGCGACGGGCGGCGTCGGGGTCGCGGGCGGCTGTAACGACGCCGCGCAGGGCGACGCGAAGGTGGGGCCGCGGGGTCGCGACAGGGGGGCGCCGGGGCCAGCAGAGGCGGCGCCGGGGCCGGAAGCGCGGCGCGACGGGGCCGCTAAGGGAAGCGAGGGGAGGGGAGCGCGACTCGGGCAGGGGCGGAGCGCGCTCCGGGCAGGAAAAAAAAATCTTACGGTGGGCCCTAGGAACAGTTCCCACGAGGGAACCTGCTCTATACCATGTGACAATTGGAACGAGAGTCAATGCATTGAGCAGCATGAGGAGTACAAGTACCAAACCCTAGAATGTTGTACCCCATATGAGCTACCCCACTACAGCCTACACAGACTATAGTGTATAAGTTTGACACTAGTGCCTCCCCCCACGCCCCCTGTGCCCACGCCCATGCCCATGCCCAGGGCTCTGGCTAGGTTTTTGGCCCGTCTGAAATGAAAGTACGAGAAAAACTTTCGTCTGAAGGAAATATGAACATACTCAAGTGGTCTGATTTTCTAGATGAAACATCAACACTTGTCTGAATTTCCAGATAACAAGAACTCTGCTGTATCAATGCAACACAGGAATCGATCTCTGACCTGTTATGTAACGGGTAACTGACTAATGACTGAGATCTAGCGAGAAGAATTTGGTTTGCTAAACACAAGAGCTAATTTTTCGCTACTCCAGCTGCAAGTTGGCTTCGGTACTTGTCTGTTTCAAGATTGAAATATACTCTGTCTGAGTACTCAGACGAGTTATAAGCCCTTAGTCTTATTTTTCAGATGAACCAAAATGCTTTATCTGAGAGATCATACGAACATAAATGACTGGTCTGCGAAATCATATGAACACAAAAAATCGTGTCTGAAAATCAGACAATCAGACAAAATTTGTCTGATAACCAGAGCCCTGCCCATGCCCATGCCTACCCCCGCCCCTCCCACCGCCCCTCCCACCGCCCCTCCCCCCTCCTCTCCCGCCTCCAGACCCCCCAGGGGGAAGTGAATCGGCATGGGGGGATGACAGGAGGCTGCGCACTGCTGCCACCACCCTCTCCCCCTGGGTATGCACGTCCAAGGATGGGTTCTCTATCTTCTCCCTCAGTAGCGAATCCAGCTGCTGCCTTAGGTCCTGGGAGGGGAGGGAGACGGGATGCCACGCGATTTCAGATGCCCCTCAGCATGTCAAAGCCCGTGCGGCGAGCAAGGCAGGGACAAAAAGTGTGCTTGCATGCCTGTCTGCTTGCATGCCTGTCTGCTTGCACGCCTGTCTGCTTGCATGCCTGCCTGCTTGCATGCCTGTCTGCTTGCATGCCTGTCTGCTTGCATGCCTGCCTGCTTGCATGCCTGCCTGCTTGCATGCCTGTCTGCTTGCATGCCTGCCTGCTTGCATGCCACTCTGCTTGCATGCCTGTCTGCTTGCATGCCTGTCTGCTTGCATGCCTGTCTGCTTGCATGCCTGTCTGCTTGCATGCCTGTCTGCTTGCACGCCTGTCTGCTTGCATGCCTGCCTGCTTGCATGCCTGTCTGCTTGCATGCCTGTCTGCTTGCATGCCTGCCTGCTTGCATGCCTGCCTGCTTGCATGCCTGTCTGCTTGCATGCCTGCCTGCTTGCATGCCACTCTGCTTGCATGCCTGTCTGCTTGCATGCCTGTCTGCTTGCATGCCTGTCTGCTTGCATGCCTGTCTGCTTGCATGCCTGCCTGCTTGCATGCCTGCCTGCTTGAATGCCTGCCTGCTTGAATGCCTGCCTGCTTGCATGCCTGTCTGCTTGCATGCCTGCGTGCTTGCATGCCTGCCTGCTTGCATGCCTGCCTGCTTGCATGCCTGCCTGCTTGCATGCCTGCCTGCTTGCATGCCTGCCTGCTTGCATGCCTGCCTGCTTGCATGCCTGCCTGCTTGCATGCCTGTCTGCTTGCATGCATGCCTGCTTGCATGCCTGCCTGCTTGCATGCCTGCCTGCTTGCATGCCTGCCTGCTTGCATGCATGCCTGTCTGCTTGCATGCCTGCCTGCTTGCATGCCTGCCTGCTTGCATGCCTGCCTGCTTGCATGCCTGCCTGCTTGCATGCCTGCCTGCTTGCATGCCTGCCTGCTTGCATGCCTGCCTGCTTGCATGCCTGCCTGCTTGCATGCCTGCCTGCTTGCATGCCTGTCTGCTTGCATGCCTGTCTGCTTGCATGCCTGCCTGCTTGCATGCCTGCCTGCTTGCATGCCTGCCTGCTTGCATGCCTGCCTGCTTGCATGCCTGCCTGCTTGCATGCCTGCCTGCTTGCATGCCTGTCTGCTTGCATGCCTGTCTGCTTGCATGCCTGCCTGCTTGCATGCCTGCCTGCTTGCATGCCTGCCTGCTTGCATGCCTGCCTGCTTGCATGCCTGCCTGCTTGCATGCCTGTCTGCTTGCATGCCTGTCTGCTTGCATGCCTGTCTGCTTGCATGCCTGTCTGCTTGCATGCCTGTCTGCTTGCATGTCTGTCTGCTTGCATGCCTGCCTGCTTGCATGCCTGCCTGCTTGCATGCCTGCCTGCTTGCATGCCTGCCTGCTTGCATGCCTGCCTGCTTGCATGCCTGCCTGCTTGCATGCCTGTCTGCTTGCATGCCTGTCTGCTTGCATGCCTGTCTGCTTGCATGCCTGTCTGCTTGCATGCCTGTCTGCTTGCATGCCTGTCTGCTTGCATGCCTGTCTGCTTGCATGCCTGTCTGCTTGCATGCCTGTCTGCTTGCATGCCTGTCTGCTTGCATGCCTGTCTGCTTGCATGCCTGTCTGCTTGCATGCCTGTCTGCTTGCATGCCTGTCTGCTCTCACCTGCATCATCTTTGCAATCTGAGCTGAATCGCTCAAATGCAGGTACCCCCCCAGCATGTCAAAGACCGTGCGACGAGCAAGGGAGGGACACAGTGGCTGTGTTCGCCAGCACCTTTGAAGCCCAAAACGACGGGATAACGACGGGATCAGGAAGGTGAGTCTCGCATTCCTGATCCCATCACTTAGGGTTTGTTAAAGCTCAAGGCCCAAATTGCGCAAGGTTAGTAATCTTGCGCAAGGGTTTGGGCTGGTCAAGAAAGTATTGGGAGGGTGGGGTTGACTTATTTCGCACGAGCTCTCGCAACAATCGCTGAGTCAGCAAACACCAAGGCAAACGTTCTGTTTCGGTCCGAGAGTCCCAAATTGTGTAATACTGAAAGTTGAAGTTTCTGCAGTGAGATTGGCCTCGACCAATCAGATCCATTCGCACCTACCGTAACCCAACATTCGCCAAACCAAAGCACCAAAACAACAGCTGTGCAAGATTAGTAATCTTGCTCAGCGCGGCCCGCAATTTGGGCCTTGAGCTTTAAGCTCCGTAAGCCTGGTCAGCCCGTAAAAATGCTGCCGAGCCTCTCCTAACATCCAAACCAAAACCAAAGTGGGGCCTGGTGAACGCCCACATTTCTCGACCAATTCGAACTGCTCGACGGCATATGGAAGCAGGGATGCAACTTCGTCAAGCTATGCCATCGTCATCGAACTGCTCGACGGCATATGGAAGCAGGGCAAAATTCCCTCCCCAAGCTATGCCATCGTCATCCCCCCCTTTTTCAAAGGACAGCGATGGTACAGCGATTGCATTGCCGTTCAAAGGAAAGTGGGGATGGAGGTTCCCGATGCGGTTGCATTATTTCCCGTTTCGGGATCAGAAGTTTCTCGAGTGGCATTACGCCCAGACCTCCGAGGTGGGTTCCGCGGCCGTTTCCTGATGCGGTCGCGATGCCGATGCCATCATTTTCATTTCAAATTTCGGCGTGCTGGCGAACACAGCCAGTGTGTGCTTGCATGCCTGTCTGCTCTCACAGCACCAGATCTCACCTGTACCAGATCTCACCTGCACCAGATCACACCTGTCTCACCTGCACCAGATCTCACCTGCACCAGATCTCACCTGCACCAGATCTCACCTGCACCATTTTTGCAGTCTGAGCAGAAGCACCGAAGTGCAGGTACCCCCCCAGCATGTCAAAGCCCGTGCGACCGGCCGGGGCCAAAGTATGTGCGCAAATACCCCCCCAGCATGCCAGTCCTCACCTTTACCAAGTCCCTCACCTGCACCATTTTCGCAGTTTGAGCAGAGGCACCGAAGTGCAGGTACCCCCCCAGCATGTCAAAGCCCGTGCGACGGGCCGGGGCAGGTTCTAGGTTGCCTCCGAACATGAGGAGCGCGAAATCAGAGACCATGGTGGAGTCCCTGAGAGGGGTGGAGAGGGGTGGAGCACAGTAAGTATCCCTTGAGCCAGCAGGGGCAGCTTCTAGATCGCCTCCGAACATAAGGAGCGCAAAATCAGAGACCATGGTGGAGTCCCTGGGAGGGGCGGGTGGGGTGGGTGGAGGGTGAAAGGGTGTGTGAAATGCAACACCAGACTCTCCATCAGCCAACAGGGTTCCAGCAAGCAGAGGCGGGCTCTAGGTTGCCTCGTAACATGAGGAGCGCAAAATCAGAGACCATGGTGGAGCCCCTACGGGTCGGATGGAGGGGTGGAGAGGTGTGGGGAATGAATGAAGCACGGCAGTTGGATGAAGTTTCCATTGAGCCAGCAGGCTTCAGCGGGGGCAGGCTCTAGGTTGCCTCGTAACATGAGGAGAGCGATATCAGAGACCATGGTGGAGTCCCTCGGCGGGCGGGGTGGGGAGGAGAGGGGGCGTGAGGCGTGGCGTGGGGGGAGGGATGAGCGAAAAAACGCACAGACTTTGAAAGGCTCGACCAGCAGCCAGCAGGGTCCAGCAGGGGCAGGCTCTAGGTTGCCTCCAAACATGAGGAGAGCGATATCAAAGACCATGGTGGAGTCCGTGGGAGGGGACGGTGCTGGGATAGGTGAGGTGGACTTTCTAGGTCCTGACTTTCTCGTTGTACATGAAGCAGCGGCTGGAGAAGGACGCGCAGAAAGTGCAGAGCTGGATGAATCCCTGCACAACCCTGTGAACTGAACTGTACCGCATCAAACCCCATTTAACCATCAAAATGTCCGAGGTCTTTACCTTTTCGCTGTACACGAGCCAAGGGTGGGAAAAGAAAGGGGGAGATCGCATTGACCCAAATGCATCTCTGCAACCCACTGAACCGCATTCAACTGCATTCAACCAGTACCAACCTGAGAAAAATGTCGGAGGTCTTGACCTTCTTGTTGTACACGAGCCACGGGCGGGAGAAGGAGGGGAAAATGGCATTCACCCTAATGCATCATTGGCAACCCACTCAACCGCACTCAACCAGTACAAACCTAAGAAAAATGTCAGAGGTCTTTACTTTCTCGTTGTACACAAGCCAGGGGCGGGAGAGGGAAGGGAAGAAGGCAATGATCTCAAAGCATCACTTAATAACCCTGTGAACCGCACTAAAATGCTGTCCACCGCACTGAACCGCATAAAGAACCATCCAACCGGTACCAACCTGAGGAAGATGTCGGAGGTCTTGACTTTCTCATTGTACACAAGCCAGGGGCGGGAGAAGGAGGGGCAGAAGGCGTTGACTGAGGAAGGGTGCATCTCCACCCGCCCGTCCTCCTTTGTGAAGAACACAAACCGCTTGCCCTGCCGCCGAATCTGGAATAAACGGGGGTTGGGGTGGGGAGAACAGGGGGTAAGGAAGAGGTGGGACAATGGGGAAGGGCACAAACAGTTGACTGAGGAGAGGTGCATCTCCACGCGCCCGTCCTCCTTTGTAAAGAACACAAACCGCTTGCCCTGCCGCCGTTTCTGGAAGGAGAGAAAGGGATACTGTATATACGGGTGTGACCAAGAAGGCGTTTACTGAGGAAGGGTGCATCTCCACCCGCCCGTCATCTTTGGTGGGGAGGGATGTGAGGGAGAGAACACAAACCGCTTGCCCTGCCCTGCCCTGCCCTGGCGCCGAATCTGGGAAAACGATATTAGGAATGCGGGGAGAGAGACAAGCAGGAGGTTGGGGTGGGGACGGGACGGGGTAAGGAAGAGGTGGGGCGAGCGAGGGACAGGCAAATCAGTCTCAATTCAGAAGGAAGGGCAGAAGGCGTTTACTCAGGAAGGGTGCATCTCCACCCGTCGATCATCCTTGGTGAAAAACACAAACCTTGCCCTGGCGCTGAATCTGAAAGGGAAGAGGAGGGAGAGAGAAGGGGACAAGAAGCAGACCTGTGCGAGTGCACTTTGAGAGGGTGTTTTTGAGACCTGCGTGCGTGCGTGCACCCATCCTACTTTGCAAAGAAGACAAATTGGTCGGAACAAAAGTGTATCTGGAATTGGGTGAAGGAGAAAACGACAGGTTGAGGCTACATGAGAAACCGAGACATAACCTGAGCGAGATAGAGATTGTTTTTGAGAATTCTCAAAAACAATCTCAAAAACAATCTCAAAAACAGTTTGAGAATTCTCAAAAACAATCTCAAAAACAATCTCAAAAACAATTTGAGAATTCTCAAAAACAATCTCAAAAACAATTTGAGAATTCTAAAAAACAATCTCAAAAACAATTTGAGAATTCTCAAAAACAATCTCTAGCACATGAGAAACCGAGACATAACCTGAGCGAGATAGAGACCCTCGCCTGAGCAGGGACCTCACCTGAGCAACAGAGAAATCTCACCTGAGCAACAGAGAAATCTCCCCTGAGCAACAGAGAAATCTCACCTGAGCAACAGAGAAATCTCCCCTGAGCAACAGAGACCCCTCTCACCTGAGCAACAGAGGGATAGAGGCCCGCACAGATCACAGCAGAGAGCATTTCTTGGTCTGATGCCAGCTGGCTGTACTCCTGAGGAGGTAAGATGGAAGGGGTCAAAAGCAGTACAAATGGGAGAGAATGGGGTCACAGAGGAGAGCATTTCTTGATCCGATGCGAGTTGGCTATACTCCTGAGGGGGTTTGACGGGGGCCAACAGGGGTCAACAGGGGTTTGGATGGGGGGTTCAATAGTGGGTAAAGTGGGACTTCTACAGGGAGCGAATGGGATCACAGCGAAGGGCATTTCCTGATCCGATGCGAGTTGGCTATACTCCTGAGGGAAAGAATGGGGCCAAATTCACATGGGGGGTCAATGGGAATTTGATCGGGTTTTTGCCCTGCGCAAACCCGGCTCACATGGAGCCCCAGTGGGGGGTCATAGAACCCGATACCGCTGAGGAGTTGCAGGGACAGAAACTGCCCTCACATGCCTGGCTGCTACCATTTGGAGCACCGGTGCTCCTCCCACTTGCTTGCACCCATGATCCACCCATTCGGACCCAGCATGTATGGAACCCCGATCACTCACGTTGAGCCCCAGTCGGGGGTCATAGAACCCAATGTCACTCAGCAGTTGCAGGAACTGCCCTCGCATGTCTGATACCATCTGCAGCACCGGTGCTGCTCCCACTCACCCCCATGCATGTGCATATGCCACCCACATCACTCATTGTGAGAGCAAGACACTCACATTGAGCCCCAGTCTCGGGTCATAGAACCCAATGTCACTCAGCAGCTGCAGGAACTGCCCTCGCATATCAGACACCATCTGCAGCACCGGAGCAGAGAGGAAGTTATCCCAGCAATAATTGCGCTCCTGCCCTTGCATCTTGGCTGCTCGCCACCCCTCAAACGCGTTGAGAAGTGCTATGTGGTCGCTGCACGGGTGAGGGGGGAGAGAAGGAAATGAGAGAGGAGGGGATGAGTGTTGGGCAGAGAGGAAGTTGTCCTAGCGGAAGGAACGCTCCTGGCCTTGCATCTTGGCCGCTCGCCACCCCTCAAACGCGTTGACAAGTGCTATGTGGTCGCTGGGAGAGCAAGGCACAAGCCAGTGGGGGAGGGGATGGGAGAGGAGAGGAGGGTTGAGGCGCACAGAGGAAGGTGTCACGTGGCAGTGGCAGCACAAAGGGGTCGCGGTGTGTGAGAGAGGCAGCGATGGTGAAAAGCACCCCACCCCACCAACCCACCTCTCCCCACCCGAGCTCACCTCCTCGAGTCCTTGGCAAACTTCTTCTTGGCTATATTGAAATTGATTTTGAGAATTCTCAAAAGTGAATTCAATCGAGTTCTTTGAGAACTCCTTCTTGGCTGCATCTGCCAACTCCTTGTTGTTGAGTGGCAGCAAAAGGGGTCCCGGTATGCCAGGGAGATAGTGATGATGAAAAGCACCCCGTCCTACCCAGCCGCACCCAACCTCACTCGTAGAGCCCAACTCACCTTCGTGTCTCTCTAGCTAACTCCTTCTTGGCTGCATCCGCCATTTCTTTCTTGTCAAGTGGGAGGACAAAGGGATCCTGGTATGCGAGAAAGGCAGCAAGGTTGAAAAGCACACCGCCTTACCCAACCGCACCCAACCTCCCTTGTAGAGCCCAACTCACTCGCCTCCTGGAGTCCTTAGCGAACTCCTTCTTGGCTGCATCCGCCACTTCCTTCTTGTCAAGGGGGAGGACAAAGGGGTCTCGGTATGCCAGGGAAGCTGCGATGGTGAAAAACACCCCATCCCACCACCCCACCCCACCACCCCCGCTCGACAAGAAGGAGATGGCGGATGCAGCCAAGAAGGAATTCTCCAAGGACTCCAGAAGGTGAGCTGGGGTAGGGTGGGTTGCGGTGGTTTGGGGTGGAGTAGGGTGGGGTGGGGAGCTTTTCACCATTACTGCCTCTCTGGCCTACTGCGATCCCTTTGTTCTCCCCTTTGACAAAAAGGAGATGGCAGATGCGGCCAAGAATGAATTCTCCAAGGACTCCAGGAGGTGAGCTGGGGTTGGGTAGGTTGCGGTGGTGTGGGGTGGAGTAGGGTGCGGCGGGGAGATTTTCACCATCGCTGCCATTTTGACCTACCGCGATCCCTTCGTTCTCCCCCTTGACAAAAAGGAGATGGCAGATGTGGCCAAGAAGGAATTCTCCAAGGACTTCAGGAGGTGAGCTGGGCTCTACACATAGGTGTGGTGGGGTGCAGTGCGGTGAGGTGGGGTTCTCTTCACCATTACTGCCTCTCTGACCTACTGAGACCCCTTTGTGGTGCTGCTCGACAAGAAAGAGATGGCAGGTGCAGCCAAGAAGGAGTTCTCAAAGGACTCCAGGAGGTGAGATGGGGTGAGGTGGGGAGGGTTCGGGGGCAGCAACTATGTTGAGAAAGACCAAGGAGGACGCTGTGTACTGCGTCTGGACGCAGCGTCTGAACGCACGGACGCAGGACGCGCGTCCAGACGCAGGACGCACGGCGAATTTTTTTCCGGGCTGCCCGGAAAAAAAATTCCCGATCGCGAAATTGACATTCGCGACTTTGACGCGAATGTCGAAATCGCGAAATTTCGAACCCCCCTTGCCCAAATCGCCATTCTAAAACAGCCCCCCCCAACATTTCATAACCTTTCATGCAAATTTGAAATGCTCAAACCTCTCAACCACTCCACATGTACAAAACCCAACCTTAGTGGCCCACCACCAAGCCCATTTAGCAATGCAACCAAGTCATTTGTGGTTTCTCATTTTACCCACCCACCCAATTTTCTTTCGTGAACCCTAGAGGTTTTAGCTTTCTAGCTTAACTCCGTTATGACTTCCTCAAGCAATCCTTCGTCTTGAATTTTGGGGGAAAAAATGTTGTTGTTTGGGACAAATTTGCACCGTGACTCACCTTAATCTTGAATTTTGAGGGAAAATTTTGTTGCTGGGGACAAATTTGCCTCGAAAGTGTGGAACGTCCCCCTCCCTCCCTCTTCCCATGCCCTAAAACATTTTTTTTGCCTGCCCGGGGATTTTTTTTGCCCTGCCCGGGCTTGCGTCTTTTGATGCGTCTTTCTGGTCCTGGTGCTGCGTTCTGCGTTTGGACGCATGCGTCCAGGACAACCTTCACTACAGACACACATGGCAAATAGGGAGATTGGCCCTCCCAGATGTTTGGTAGGGGGGTTACGGGTGTTGTGGTGGAGTACTGTGGTGTTCTATTACTCCACTGTGTACGATATAAAGTTCTATGATGGAGTCGTGATGCTCTTATTACTCCTAGGTAAGGGCGCTTGTGGGCTTTAGGGGGCTGGCGCTAAGGTCACAAACGGCTTGAGCTCGAAAAATAAGCTCAAACACATTGACCCGCGACCTAAACATTGGTCGCTGGTCATAGTGTTCGTCGACGCCCCGTGTCGAACACGAACGTGTTCGTGTTCGACGCGGCTCGGCCAGCAGTAGGAGGCGAACACCGAACGTGTTCGGGCGAACATTTTAAGACAAAAAAAGAACCTGTTCGGTTCGCCTCGAACACGTTCGAGGCGAACCGAACAGATGTTCTTTTCTGTGCTCAAGCCTGCGAGAGAGGCTATGATGGTGATACGATGGTGATACGGGTCACACCACGATGGCTTAAAGATGCTGCAATAGCACAGAGAGAGAGCAACTCACCTCCTCGGATCTCTAGCAAACTCCTTGGCTGCATCTGCCAGCTCCTTCTTGCCGAGGGGGGGCACAAAGGGGTCGCAATAACCCAAGGAGGCAGCTCGCGGGATTGACAAGAGGGATCGCAATAGCCTAGAGGGAAAGCCCCTTGACTTAAGAGCACATACCTCCTGGAGTCCTTTGAAAACTCCTTCTTGGCTGCGTCTGCCATTTCCTCCGGAGCACCTGTGTAAGGACAAAGGGATCGCGGTGGGCCAGAGAGGCACTGATGGTGAAAAGCACCGTACCCAACCCCACCCCACCTCACTTGTAAAGCCCAACTCACTCACCTCCTCGAGTCCTTGGCGAACTCCTTCTTGGCTGCGTCTGCCATTTCCTTCTTGTCGAGTGGCAGCACAAAGGGGTCCCGATAGGCCAGAGAAGCCGCGATGGTGAGCGCTGGGGCGAGGCAGTTGAAAATGGCTCCGAATATGAGCATCTGGGAGGGTGGGGGAATGGCAGGAACGGGTTGGGGTAGGCCAGGTAGGGAGAAGGGAACGGGTTGGGGTAGGCCAGGTAGGGAGGAGGGGATGGGCAGGAATGGGCTGGTTGCGGTAGGCCAGGCAGAGAGGCAGCGATAGTGAGGGCTGGGGCGAGGCAGTTGAATATGGCTCCGAATATGAGCATCTGGGGGGGATGGGTGAATGGGAAAGGGGAGGCAGCACGAAGGGACGGAGTATGAGGCGCCTTCCTTCCCCTCCTCACCTCCCCTCATGCGAGGGAAGCCGCGAGGCAGTTGAATATGGCTCCAAATATGAGCATCTTGGGGGGATGGAAGGGTGCAGTTTACGTGAATTTTACTTTTGAGTATTCTCAAAAGTAAAATTCGCGAGGCAGTTGAATATGGCTCCGAATATGAGCATCTGGGGGAGATGGACGGGTGCAGTGGTGGGGGAAGGGTTGGATGGAAGCAGAGAAGATAGACAAGTGGGAAGGAGGGACGAGCATGGATTGCTCGCGCGAATGGTCTTGGCAGCAAGGGAAGGAGCAGTGGCGAGAGCTGGGGCGAGGCAGTTGATTATGGCTCAATACACCTTGTCTTAGGACAATGGCAGAGAGAAACAAGACTCACCTTTCCAATGCACGGCTCCAAGGGAATGGCAGCCAGGTGGCACCCCAGGGAGGGAGGGAGGTGGCACCCGAGGGAGGGAGATCTTGTAAGCATCTACCTTGTAAGCCCGGTCCAACCAATACCTTGTAAGCCCGGCCCAACCAGACATCACCTGAAACAGACCTTGCTGCGCCCACCTTTCCAATGCGCGGCTCCACAGGAATGGCAGCCAGGTGACACCCCAGGGAGGTGAGTTGCTCGTCAGGGGTGAATGCTCCAATGGTCTCCAACAATTGCACTGCGTTCTGGACCTGATAGGGGTTGAGGTAGGGGAGCAGGGAGGAAGGAGGTGTGATTGAGTTGGCGTGTTGCAGAACAGCAAGAACAACGGGCCCCCCCACTCACTCCCATGTTTGCACTGCATGGCTACAGGCAGGACAAGACTTGTGGTTCTGCCTACCATCCACTTACTGCCAGCGGTTCTGGTGGTTGCATTGCCTTGGAGAGAAGCGACTGCACGTGCCCCAAGATGCTTGTCCCCAGCCAAGATGCTTGATCTGCACACACACTCCCCCCACTCACTGCCAACAGCTCCTGTGGCCACAAACTTACTGCAAGAGGTTCCGGTGGTTGCATTGCTTTAGACAGAAACGACTGCACGTGCCCCAGCCCCAGGTGCTTGATCTGCAAGCACAGCTCCTGCAGCGGCGTCCTCAGAATCTCGGGCAGCTGAAACTCCAGCAACGAATCATAAACCGCCTTCGGGTAGAGGTGGAAACAGATTCCCGGCTGCACGCGCCCCGCCCGCCCCCTCCTCTGGTGGGCCGAGGCCTTGGAAATCCAGGAGGGGAGCAGGCAGGCTAGTTTGTTGAGTGCATCGTAGGAAGTTTCCTTGGCCTTTCCGCAGTCGACCACGAAAACGACGTCGTCAATCGTGATGCTCGTCTCCGCTATGTTGGTCGCCAGGACCACTTTCCTGGTGAGTAAAAAAAAAAACGGGTGAGAGACACAGGAGGGAGGGAGCAGAAGGTGAGTAGTGCAGGGGATGAGCAGCTCCTTTCTGCAGTCCACCACGACGACCACGTCGTCAATGGTGATGTGCTCGTCTCCGCTATGTTGGTCGCCAGGACCACTTTTCTGAGAAGAAGCAAGGGGAAGGTACATGAGAGAAGGAGAGGAGGAGGGATGGAGGAAGGGGCGAGGTGATGCTTGGCTTGGCCTTTCCGCAGTCCACCACGAAAACCACGTCGTCAATGGTGATGCTGGTCTCTGCTATGTTGGTGGCCAGCACCACATTTCAGAATATATATATATATATATATATATATATATATATATATATATATATATATATATATATATATATATATATATATATATATTAGTAAACTGGAAAGTAGAATGTTCAAAGAAAAACATACACAAAGTGTGATGGGCACAGGAGAATGAACGAGTGAGTATAAAAGTGGACAGAGGTGGGAAGTGACAGAAAAGAAACTTGTTATCTTGTTCAACCAGAAACTCAACAAAGAGTCTAAACCAAACGAGAGAATTCAACCGTGGATTTACATAACAATAATACTCATGTACACTTGGAAATGCATACTACTAGAGGAAAGGCAAGGGGCCCACCTGACTCCAGGTGGCGGGCGGTTGAAAATCTCCTTCTGGTGAATCGTCGGCATCGACCCATGCAGGGGCAGGAGCAAAACTTTCGACGGCTGCCCGGCGACAGGCATCACCTTCAGAGCTTCCAGCAGCTTCGAAATCTCGTCCCAGCCCGTCAGAAAGACCAGCACGGCCCCTTCAGCCTCGTTCCTGCATATATATTCCACGACTGATGCCACTAGATCGATGTCTAGCTTGTCTGGTGAGAAGTTGGCCAGGGATTCTTGGGTGGGGCGAGAGAAGGCAGAGTAGTGCGACCACACATCCACATCCTGCCAGGGATGGAGAGGGGTGAAGAGGGGTAGAGACAGGTGAAGAAAGGCGCAGAGGGGTGAGGGATATAGAGCGGTGGAGAGGGGTGGAACTGCATATATGCTCCACCAGAGATGCCACTAGATCAACGTCTAGCTTGTCTGGTGAGAAGTTAGCGAGGGACTCCTGGGTGGGTCGGGTGAATGCAGAGTAGTGCGACCACACGTCCACGTCCTGCCAGGGATGGAGAGGGGTGGAGGGGTGTGGAGACAGGTGGAGATGAGTGGATAGGGGTGGAAGAGGTGTGGAGGGTGGAGATGGATGGTATTGCAAGTGCGATGGAAGAGTAGATCACTGCAAGCACTTGCCTCAAGAAACAGAGCACCATTCACTTGCCTCAAGAAACAGAGCACCATTCACTTGCCTCAAGAAACAGAGCACCATTCACTTGCCTCAAGAAACAGAGCACCATTCACTTGCCTCAAGAAACAGAGCACCATTCACTTGCCTCAAGAAACAGAGCACCATTCACTTGCCTCAAGAAACAGAGCACCATTCACTTGCCTCAAGAAACAGAGCACCATTCACTTGCCTCAAGAAACAGAGCACCATTCACTTGCCTCAAGAAACAGAGCACCATTCACTTGCCTCAAGAAACAGAGCACCATTCACTTGCCTCAAGAAACAGAGCACCATTCACTTGCCTCAAGAAACAGAGCACCATTCACTTGCCTCAAGAAACAGAGCACCATTCACTTGCCTCAAGAAACAGAGCACCATTCACTTGCCTCAAGAAACAGAGCACCATTCACTTGCCTCGAGAAACAGAGCACCATTCACTTGCCTCGAGAAACAGAGCACCATTCACTTGCCTCGAGAAACAGAGCACCATTCACTTGCCTCAAGAAACAGAGCACCATTCACTTGCCTCAAGAAACAGAGCACCATTCACTTGCCTCAAGAAACAGAGCACCATTCACTTGTCTCCTGGGACAGTGAGGTTGAGTGAGGTTAATACAACTCCATATTCACTCAACCTCACTGTCCCAGGCTTCTGAGATTGGGTCTTTCTTCGGCACGCTTGCACTCCTCTCCCTTCTCCCCATCCCTCCCAAATCCTCTCCCTTCCCCTCCATGCTCTACCAATAACACATCCCTTCTCAATTCAATCACTCTCACCTCCCACACCTCTGAAATCGGGTCCTTCTTCGTCACACTCACACTCCTCTCCCTTCCCTCCCTCACATTTCCCCTCACACGGCCCGATTCAGGGACTCTCACCTCCCGCGCTTCTGAGATTGGATCTTTCTTAGCCACGCTCGCACTCCTCTCCCTTCTCCCCCTCCCGCACCCCCACCCTCCTCCGACCAACCATATCTCCCTGTCCCTCACACACAAACTCCCTGATGTAATACACTGCAACCCTCAATACAAACATTCTCACCTCCCACGCTTCTGAGATCGGGTCTTTCTTCGCTACGCTCGCACTCCTCTCCCGTCTCCCCCTCCCGTACCCCCGCCCTCCTCCTCCTCTCGAAAACCCGCCTCCTCCTCCCTGTTGGCCCTGGTCCCTGATGGGAATGCGCGTGCGCTCCAACACATGCTCTAGGAATAATTGCTGCACTGGGTGTGTGAAACCCTGAAGGACAAGTGGGGGACACAAGCGGAGGAGATACGTGTTGGAATCTGGACTTGGTCCCTGATGGGAATGCGCGTGCGCTCCAACACGTGCTCGAGGAACGAGTTGACGGTGACGATGATGAGCACGACATGCAGGTTCGTTCGGGGCGGAACGAGTGCGACGGCAAGGGAAAAGCACAGGGCACCAACGAAACCCACGCACACACACACACACACACACACACACACACACACACACACACATACACACACACACACACACACACACACACACACACACACACACACACACACACAGAGGCCAGCAGGCACCACCACTCACCGGAATGTGTGCCATGGGAGCTTTATTGAAGTACTCTGAAAATAACTCCGCATTGATCGTTGCACTCATGAGCACGAGACGCAGGTCGGGGCGACGAGGCAGCAAGTCCCTCAAGATAATGAGTAGAAAGTCCTCATTCATGCCTCGCTCGTGAATCTCGTCCACCATCACATGCGAGACGCCGGCTAAGTCTGGTTGTTGCACCTGTGTAGGGCAGCATATGAGACAGGAGACATGGCAGCACATGGGGTAGCAGGTGTCTGAGGATGATCAGTAGGAAGTCCCTGTTCATGCCTCGCTCGTGAATCTCGTCCACCATCACGTGGGACACGCCGGCCAGATCTGGCTGCTGGACCTGTGAGGCAGCACATGGGGCAGCAGGTCCCTCAAGATGATGAGAAGCAAGTCCTCGTTCATGCGTCGCTCGTGAATCTCATCCACCATCACGTGGGACACTCCTGACAGGTCTGACTGCTGGACCTGTAAGAGAGCACGTGGTTCAACATGTAGGGCAGCACAGGGGAAGGCAGCAGGTCCCTCAAAATGATGAGAAGCAAGTCCTCGTTCATGCCTCGCTCGTGAATCTCATCCACCATCACGTGGGACACTCCTGACAGGTCTGACTGCTGGACCTGTAAGAGAGCACGTGGTTCAACATGTAGGCAGCACAGGGTAAGGCAGCAGGTCCCTCAAAATGATGAGAAGCAAGTCCTCGTTCATGCCTCGCTCGTGAATCTCATCCACCATCACGTGGGACACTCCTGACAGGTCTGACTGCTGGACCTGTAAGAGAGCACGTGGTTCAACATGTAGGCAGCACAGGGTAAGGCAGCAGGTCCCTCAAAATGATGAGAAGCAAGTCCTCGTTCATGCGTCGCTCGTGAATCTCATCCACCATCACGTGGGACACTCCTGACAGGTCTGATTGCTGGGCCTGTAAGAGAGCACGTGGTTCAACATGTAGGCAGCACAGGGTAAGGCAGCAGGTCCCTCAAAATGATGAGAAGCAAGTCCTCGTTCATGCCTCGCTCGTGAATCTCATCCACCATCACATGCGAAACTCCAGCCAAGTCTGGTTGTTGCACCTGAATCGATGGGGAGGAGAGACACACATGTGCGGCAGCAGGTTCTCGTTCATGCCCCACTCGTGAATCTCGTCCACCATCAAGTGGGACACTCCTGCTAAGTCCGGTTGTTGCACCTGCGTTGGTGGGGAGGCGAGATAGACAGGCCAGTGTGTAGGGCAGCATAGGCAGTTCTCTCAGGGTTGGTTCATGCATCAGGAACAAACGAGCCATGCATGCAACACTCACCACCCTCCACCACTCTCCACCACGCACTCACCTCACAATCACCTCACACTCACCTGTCACCCACCCCAGCACTCACCACCCACTAATCACTCTCCACCCCAGCACTCACCACCCACTAATCACTCTCCACCCCAGCACTCACCACCCACTAATCACTCTCCACCCCAGCACTCACCACCCACTAATCACTCTCCACCCCAGCACTCACCACCCACTAATCACTCTCCACCCCAGCACTCACCACCCACTAATCACTCTCCACCCCAGCACTCACCACCCACTAATCACTCTCCACCCCAGCACTCACCACCCACTAATCACTCTCCACCCCAGCACTCACCACCCACTAATCACTCTCCACCCCAGCACTCACCACCCACTAATCACTCTCCACCCCAGCACTCACCACCCACTAATCACTCTCCACCCCAGCACTCACCACCCACTAATCACTCTCCACCCCAGCACTCACCACCCACTAATCACTCTCCACCCCAGCACTCACCACCCACTAATCACTCTCCACCCCAGCACTCACCACCCACTAATCACTCTCCACCCCAGCACTCACCACCCACTAATCACTCTCCACCCCAGCACTCACCACCCACTAATCACTCTCCACCCCAGCACTCACCACCCACTAATCACTCTCCACCCCAGCACTCACCACCCACTAATCACTCTCCACCCCAGCACTCACCACCCACTAATCACTCTCCACCCCAGCACTCACCACCCACTAATCACTCTCCACCCCAGCACTCACCACCCACTAATCACTCTCCACCCCAGCACTCACCACCCACTAATCACTCTCCACCCCAGCACTCACCACCCACTAATCACTCTCCACCCCAGCACTCACCACCCACTAATCACTCTCCACCCCAGCACTCACCACCCACTAATCACTCTCCACCCCAGCACTCACCACCCACTAATCACTCTCCACCCCAGCACTCACCACCCACTAATCACTCTCCACCCCAGCACTCACCACCCACTAATCACTCTCCACCCCAGCACTCACCACCCACTAATCACTCTCCACCCCAGCACTCACCACCCACTAATCACTCTCCACCCCACACTCACCAGTCGTCTCAGCAGCACTCACCAGCCTTCACACCAGCACTCACCAGTCGTCGCAGCAGTACGCCAGTGGTGCAAAACAGCAGCCTGGTTTTCACCCCCAGCCCATGTATTCACCACACACCACCACACACCATCCACCAGCCTTCTCCGTATGAACTCCCCAGCCTCCCACACACTCACCAGTCGTCTCAGCAGCACGCCAGTGGTGCAGAACAGCAGCCTTGTATTCGGTCCTCGTCTGCTCTCCATCCGAATCTGATACCCCACGCTGCCCCCCACCTCCTCGCCTCGCTCCACCGCCACCCTCGCCGCCACCGACGTGGCTGAAATCCGCCTGGGCTGGGTGCAAATGATGAAGGTCTGTGCGCCCCTGCCTGCCTCGATTTCACTCTCTAGAATGAACTGTGGAAGCTGGGTGGTCTTGCCGCACCCAGTCTCGCCAGACACCACAAGGACCTGCAGAAGCCAGCCGGGAGGATGCGATCAGAGGACAGGAGAGCACAATATTGCACCCATGAATTAACAAGCCCTTGCCCCCCTCGCCGCCACCGACGTGGCTGAAATCCGCCTGGGCTGGGTGCAAATGATGAAGGTCTGCGCTCCTCTGCCTGCCTCAATTTCGCTCTCCAGGATGAATTGGGGCAATTGAGTTGTCTTGCCGCAACCTGTTTCCCCTGACACCACCAGCACCTGTGGAAAGGCGAAAGGGACAGGTCAAAAGACACGGTAAAGGGGAGGGGGCTTGCATGAATCTGACTTTTGAGTCGACTCAAAAGACACGGTAAAGGGGAGGGGGCTTGCATGAATCTGACTTTTGAGTCGACTCAAAAGACACGGTAAAGGGGAGGGGGCTTGCATGAATCTGACTTTTGAGTCGACTCAAAAGACACGGTAAAGGGGAGGGGGCTTGCATGAATCTGACTTTTGAGTCGACTCAAAAGACAGGGTAAAGGGGAGGGGGGATTGCATGAATCTGACTTTTGAGTCGACTCAAAAGACAGGGTAAAGGGGAGGGGGGCTTGCATGAATCTGACTTTTGAGTCGACTCAAAAGACAGGGTAAAGGGGAGGGAGGCTTGCATGAATCTGACTTTTGAGTCGACTCAGAAGACACGGTAAAGGGGAGGGGGGCTTGCATGAATCTGACTTTTGAGTCGACTCAAAAGACAGGGTAAAGGGGAGCGGGGCTTGCATGAATCTGACTTTTGAGTCGACTCAAAAGACAGGGTAAAGGGGAGGGGGGCTTGCATGAATCTGACTTTTGAGTCGACTCAAAAGACACGGTAAAGGGGAGGGGGGCTTGCATGAATCTGACTTTTGAGTCGACTCAAAAGACAGGGTAAAGTGGAGGGGGGCTTGCATGAATCTGACTTTTGAGTCGACTCAAAAGACACGGTAAAGGGGAGGGGGGCTTGCATGAATCTGACTTTTGAGTCGACTCAAAAGACAGGGTAAAGGGGAGGGGGGCTTGCATGAATCTGACTTTTGAGTCGACTCAATAGACAGGGTAAAGGGGAGGGGGGCTTGCATGAATCTGACTTTTGAGTCGACTCAAAAGACACGGTAAAGGGGAGGGGGGCTTGCATGAATCTGGTGTGACTATCTGCTGTGATGCCACCCTCCATGCCACTGACGTGGCTGATATACGCCTGGGCTGTGTGTAAATGATCACTGTCCGTGTGCCTCTTCCCACCCACCTCTATCTCACTCCTCCGGCACCTGGCTCTCCTGCATTCACCTGGTTTGAATGCAATCACCTGGCTCTGTTGCAATCACCTGGCTCTGTTGCAACCACCTGGCTCTGTTACAATCACCTGGCTCTGTTGCACTCACCTGGCTCTGTTGCACAGATCGCAGCAGCTCCTCTCGCTGCTTGAAGGCTGGTAGTCGCTGCCTCTGAGCCATCATTGCCTGGACAGCTGGGGAGGACTGGCGGTGGGGAGGGAGGGGAGGGAGGAAGGGCGGCGAGAGGGAGGGGTGCGAGAGGAAGTTGTTGGTCAAAATTGTTCATCCCAGCAGCAGCAGCTCCTCCCGCTGCTTGAAGGCCGGTAGCCTCTGCCTCTGCGCCATCATTGCTACCTCTGCTCGGGAGGACTGGTGGGGAGTTTATCGGGAGGGGAAAGTGAAGGAGGGGAGAAACGGGGAGGGCATGGCGGCGTGGTGTGTAAGAAAAAACTGTTCAATGCAGCAACAGCTGCTCCTCCCTCTTCTTGAAGGCCAGTAGTCGCTGCCACTGATCCATCACGGCCTGGACTGAACTGGTGGGGAGAACTGGTGGTGGAGAGGAGAGGAAGGGGCGCGGAAAGGAGGAATGGGATGAAAAAGGTGCTTGACAGGTGTTGAAAAGGAGAGTGTTGAGCGCAGCAACAGAAGTTCGTCCTTCTGCTTGAAGCCTGGCAATCGCTGCCACTGATCCATCATGGCCTGGACTGAACTGTTGGGGAGAATTGGTGGTGAACTGATGCAGCAGCGGCTACTGATGCAAGCGAAGCAGAGGTCACACCTTACTGGTCATACCTTCCGTCTGTTCTGCTCTGCTCTCAACGCGTCGCTCTGCACTCTCAGCGCGTCTGCTGCTGTAACCGCAGCAGAATGTGTTGCTGCTGCTGCACCAACTGATGCTGCCACTGCTGCTGGGACTGCCGCTGACGCTCCAGCTGTTGCTGCTGCTGCTGGTACTGCGGGTGCTGCTGGTGCTGCTGGTGCTGCTGTGGATGATCCAGGGGCGAGGGAGGAGGAGGAGGAGGAGGAGGAAGGGGCGAAGGAGGAGGAAGGGGCAAGGAGGCTTGACACGTGTTGGTGAAGATCAGAGGAGACAGTGATCTGTAAGGGACGAGGGACGGGGGTGGAGGGGTGGAACGGGGTGAGAGACGAAGCAGGGAAAGGGCGAGGAGGCTTGACACGTGTTGGTGAAGATCAGAGGAGACAGTAATTTGCATGGGGAAGAACAGGGGGGAGTGCAGGGCGCTGCGGAGAGGGGAGAGATTGCTGCACTCCCCCCTGTTCTTCCCCATGCAGGGGAGAGATTACTGAGTCAAAGGGACAAAAAAGGAGGCAATGAGGAAGGCTGGCTGGGACGAGTAGGCTTGAGACGTGGTGATGGAAGAGTTCTGAGATTTTTTTTGTTTTGAGGCGTCTTAGAAAAGGTTGGGTGGGACAATCAATGAGGCTTGAAACGTGGTGACGGAAAGAGATGGAAAGTCCAGACCAGTGGTTACGGAAGAAATCTCACCTGCCGCTTGAATCGCCCGATTTTTTAGGCGCCTTAAAAAGAGTCTTGGCGATGGAAAGTTATGAAAAGTCCAGTCCAGTGGTGTTGGAAGGAAATCTCACCTGCCGCTCGGACCGCCCATGTTTGTCGTCCGAATCAGCGCGGCAGCTGGGCTGGGAAGAAGCACCCTGCTCTGCTGGCCACTGATACGCCCCCAGTGCCCTTACAGCGAGACGGCAGAGTCGGTTTGAAATAAATCTCACCTGCCGCTCGGACCGCCAATGTTTGTCGTCCGAATCAGCGCGGTAGCTGGGCTGGGAAGAAGCACCCTGCTCTGCTGGCCACTGATACGCCCCCAGTGCCCTTACAGTGAGACGGCAGAGTCGGTTTGAACTAAATCTCACCTGCCGCTCGGACCGCCCGTGTTTATCGTCCAGATCAGCCCGATAGCTGGGAAGGGGCACCCTGCTGGCCACTGCTACCGTTCCAGTGCCCTTGCCGTATGTTTGGCTGCAGGGAAGAGAGAAAACAACAATTGGGGGTAACAGCAACAAAACAGTCTTCTTGACTTCCCTACTCTTGGGTAGCTCTGACAAGAGACACCTTGCTGGGTGCTTTTACGGTCCTAGTACTGATACACCCTGCCGACCAAGGGACTTATGGGTCCACCAAAAGACACCCTGCTGGCCAGTGGCCAGACACCCTTGCAGTTTGCATGGCTGCAGGAAAAAGAAAATGGACAGGAAAGGCAGAAATTCAGCAGTTTATTCTCGGAGTGAAAGGTTCATGCCAAAGGCCCGGGTTTATGGTTTCGAATTTAAGATTTTGGTTTGAAGGCGTTCAAGGTTTGGAGTTTCGGGTTTACACCACGCCCCACCCATCCCCACTCACTCACAAGTACAGCCCTGCTTGCTCCGCCAGTAACGCCAACTGCTCCGCGACCTCCCTCTGATAGCTTTCCCCAGTCGCAATCTCCTCAGCAACCAACGAGCACTGCTCTACACCAGCCCAAACCCATTCCCACGACACACCCATTCCCACTCACTCACAAGTACCGCCCTGCTTGCTCCGCCAGTACTTGCAACTGCTCCGTGCCCTCCCTCCCATAGTTCTCTCTAATCACAATCTTCTCAGCAACCCACAGACACCACCCTGAACCACGCCAAACCCATTCCCACGACACACCCATTCCCACTCACTCACAAGTACAGCCCTGCTTGCTCCGCCAGTACTTGCAACTGCTCCGTGCCCTCCCTCCCATAGTTCTCTCTAATCACAATCTCTTCTGCTGCTCCACCCACTGCACCGCTCCCCACCGCACTCATTTCCACCGCACCATTCCCCACTGCACCACCCCCTGCTGCTAGCTGCCGAAACCGTGCCGCCCATGCTGCGCTGTCCACTTGCTTTGCTGGGCCTCTCTGGGGGAGGTGGAACAGGGGGAGGCGGAACAGAGGGGGGGAGAGACGCAGGGGGAGGCGGAACAGAAGGGGGGAGAGACGCAGGGCGAGGCGGAACAGAGGGGGTGGGTGGGGGGACGCAGGGGGGGGTGGAACGGGGGGAGGCAGAACATGCGAAGGCGGATCAGAGGGAAGGGAAACAAGGGGAGGCGAACGGGGGGGGTTAAGCAGCAGGGGAAGGAACAAGCTGGGAATGGGAATGAGGAGAGAATGGGTTGTGGATGGGGATGGAAATAGAAAACACACTCCCAAGTTGATTCTCTTGCCTAACCTCCTCCCTCTTGCATCTTCGTTTTACTCCCTTCCCCCTCCCTCACATCCACCCCTCTTTCATCCTTCTTCCTCCCTCCCCCTCACCTCCTCCCTCCCCCTCACCTCCTCCCTCCCCCTCACCTCCTCCCTCCCCCTCACCTCCTTCCCTCCTCCTCACCTCATTCCCTCCACATCACCTCCTCCCCTCCCCCGTCACCACCTCCCCTCACCTCTTTCCCCATCGCTGCTAATCGCTCCGCGCGCCACGCCGGATCCCACCATCGCTGCTCCCCCCCTCCCCCCCCGCCTCTTCCGCCTCTCCCTCCGCCCCTTCCGCCTCCGCGCCCACCCCGCCTTTGGCTGTTGGGTCCCCTGCCCCGCCGCATCATTAAGTTCGAAGATGACTCAGCAACGTGCCGAATTTCCCTAGATTCCGGTAGTTCCTTGGAATTTCTACTTTCCCTGAGTTCCCTAAATTCCCGTAATTCGATTAACTCTTTACGTTCCCTAGACTCTCCAGACTTCCTAGCGCTTGCGTAGAGTGACGGAGATTCCGCCACGTGGCGGATTTCCCGGGCTCCAATCGAGCGATGGCTCGTACGTGATATTAATCGCACACTGTCCACGCAAAGTACGGCTTGAAAAGGAAACGCGAACTCGACGGAGAATAAGCGCGAAACGTTGAAACTAGTATCGGAGATACGTGACGCGAGGATCGTGAGAGCGAAGCAATGCAACGGACGGCGGGGATACGGCTGCAGAGAATTATCATAGACTAGATTGAGCGACTAAAACGAAGCTAGACGAAGCTAAAACGCCGTCTTAGGCAACCCGGAGCTGACGGAAAGGCGGAAGTGAAGGATCACAACTTGCATCGGGAAACTGGTTGTAGAGTGATCAGGCACGGATAGTGATACCAATCACCGCAAAGCAGTGACTTTCTAGTAAGTCCGAGAGCCGAGGGCGACGGACGGAGGTTTCCAAACAGAAAGAACCAAACTGAACCGCATGCGACCGACACGAGTTGTCTGTGATCACTCTGACAAGGCAACCGAAGCTTGGTGGTAAATTGTGGTGACGAATGAGGGCGGAAAGGCACATCCGCTTCAATAACAAATCCGTCTCGTTATAGACTAAAGCCAAGTGACTTCACCACTCCACAAGAAGGACCCTACCATCCAACCACATTGTAGAAAATACATGATTTGATAACAATGGCCTGGCCCTATCCCCCATCAAGCACTTCTACAAACATAGCCTTTGCAATTATTTACACCACTATAGACAACCGTTATTTGATGGTACTACTACTCACTATGCAACATCTCTAACTACACTACATGGGAGCTTCTCTCAACAAGAAGCAATCCACATACAGGCCACTCTTCCACATCCCCGACTCCACCTCGTGCAACCTCACCTCCCATTCCGTCTCCACCAACTCCCCCCCACACCCTCCCCTTTTTGTCCCCGGGCCAAGCACCACCACCCCCACCCCCACCTCAGTCCACCCTGCCCCAGGCAAAGTCGCATCATTAAACACCACCCGCCGCTGAACCTCCACCGATTCCGACAAACCCGCGCCTGTAACCTTCACATTGCTGGTAACCAGCGCAGCAGGCCACTCAAACACCACATCCCGAGGCATCCAGGACTCCCCCAGGGTCGGATCCCGGGCCACTTTCCACCACAGCTCATACCTACACGATCGCACCAGCAGCGGTAAACTAAACCGGCCAATCAGATCAAACTCACTGACAGCGGCCAGATGTGCAACCCTAGGGAATACCGAGCCTTTGCGCTGCACTTGCTGCCAGTAGCTCGAGTTGCTTCCCCATGCGATCCCCATGGCTTCAGTTGCGCTAAGGGCTGTGCTGATCAAGCCTGTGCCCGGGTCTACCTTCACCTGGATCCTGCCTGCGTCTAGGAACACGCCCCGGCATAACGCCTGGAAGAGCGTCTTGCTGGAAGGCCTCCTCAGGGGATCGGAGAAGCTGCTTCCGGAGAGAAAAGAGGATGAAAGAGATGCAGCAGCAGCAGCAGGAAACGCAGTGGACGTAGAATATGCAGGCGATGCTGCTAACGCGGTAGAAAAATGAGATGCAGTAGGCACATTAGAAGAAGGATATGCAGCAGACGCGGTAGACTCAGTAGAGCTGGGGAGTGAATGCAGGGACGGAACGGCAGATGCGGGACCCGGAGCCAGAGCTGGAACCAGAGCTGGAGCTGGAGCAACCTTGGGATTGTCGAAAGGCAGCCTTGGGATTGACAATCGGACAAGAAGCAGCTTCGGGGCGAAGGCGTGGGGGAGGAGGCGGCCCCAGCAGGTGTCCGAAGCAGCGGCGGCAGCCCATGCTTTGGAGACCGAGGCGAGACGGCAGATGGCGGTTGGAGGGAGGTGAGAGAGAATGAGAGCGATGCACTCGGGTGGGAGGTGGGGAGGCGGTCGGGGAGAGGTGAAGTGGGGTGAGGAGGTGGGAGGGAGATTTGATGCGGTTGAGGTGGGTTGGGAGGGGTGGTCTGGGGGATGGAGTGGTGCGGGTGTATCGTCTTCCAGAGATGAGGAGCAGAGACCCATGCTTGTGGATGGTAGTCGTGGGAATAGCTGGGTAAAAGACTTCAGTGACAATTAAAACAAGTTCTTGAAGTTGTGAGAATCATTCTCGTGAAGTTGGAAACGGTGCAGTACGGTGAAAAGGTTGCTGACGGCAAATGTGATGCTCCAACGAAGACGATGGCGACGCTGACGACGAAAGCTGACGACGAAGCTGACGACGAAAGCTGACGATGAAAGCTGACGACGATGTTAATGGCGAAGCTCTAGAGTTCTGTCGGATTGAGGCCGTAGCGCAGAGGTTTGGAGCTGTAGAATGCTGCTAGGTGGTGGAAAATATATCCGTTAAATCTAGGCGGGAAATACGGCGCTGCGGCTTGGAGCTACTTTGACTACTACAGCCATAGTTCCTGCACTTTCATCCTCAATGAAATCGTAAAAGCGAGCAGTAGCCTCATGCTGCGATAACTTTTGTTAGGGTTACAAATCCACCTGCCGTAAGGCCAGACAACCTGGCAATACTGTAAATTCACAATGTCGAAGCCTTAACTACCAACTCGTAATTGGTCTCGACTGCGTTATTCCTACGAGTGTCTCCGTAAATCAAGGTTTCGACCTAAGTGCTGCTCGTGACTGGCTCCCGTTCCGTCTTTTCGCGACAGATCAAACACGTCAGAATCTATAGCTGCTGCGCCCTCGCTTGTAGAATACAGGGGTCCTAGAAAGTAGTCAAGGAGAAACGAGAAACGAGAGACAAAGGAGAAATGAATAGCAGCTGAGGAGAGGAATGCAGGTGGAGGAAGAAAGCTGTCAGAAGAAGGCGGGAAATGTGTCTTCGCTAAGATCTTGGAACTCGATATTGAGCGTAGTGAGGGAGTACACACTGACACGAATCTGGTGTGCAGTGTTCTGATTGTTGTAGGGCAGATGAAAAAAAAAACTATATTGAAGTTTGATTTTTTTATTGCTTTGGTGGTTGCCTAGGTTTATACGGGGTGGTTGAAAGGGGGAGGGAGTACGTGTTATATTAACATATATATACATGAAAAAATGCTCTAGATAGCATTGATCATCGCCATTACCACTCTTGAAGCTCAGCATCACGAGCAAATGTGTGCCTTGCTACACCATCCAAAGCAAACCTTACCTCCCGCATACCAAAACTCAACGGTGAGCTCACTGTCCCATTCCCCACAACCAAGAAATAATGCAAATCGCACGCACTAGCCAGGTGATGGTAGCATGCATTTGGTAGCCGGTTCGGCCGAATCTCTAAAACCGACGACCCAGATGGCATGAAGATGATATTCGCCAGCCCAGCTCCATGTGGTGCCACATAAGCAGCCGCCCGATTGAACAAAGCCTTGCCTTCCAAAATGGATAATGAACCATCATATACGACCACTCTCTCTGGTGTGAACAGCTGCTGCATTGCAGAAAGAAGGGTCTCAAACCCAACCAATCTCCTTCTGTCACTTCCTGACCGTTGCCCCAACACCACCACCCAATCACGAGGCAGCTGGCTCATTTTCTCCTCAGTCCAAAAATTTACATTCTCGTTAGCACCAGCAACACCAGCAGCATCACCTGTCTCCTGGATGGGAGTGCGGATTTCCCATGCTTCAGAGAACATGGGAAGCCCATTCGGTGGAAGGAGGAAGCGGGAGCGGAGGCTGTGCCAGAGGCTCGGGCTCGGGTTCCCGCAGGTCTGGTACACGGGTTGGTAGAGCCTGGAGGTTCGGTAAAGGGTGGTGGTGTCTTGGTCCGGGGTTATGAGGAGATTGAGCTCGTATGGCATGACGCCAATCACATGCCTGAGCACCCGGCGATAAAAGGCAAGCTGGGTTTTCTTGAACGCAATAGGGATGTTGGGATGGGCTTTAAGGAAATCCTTCATGATGTAGAATTGTGGGAGGAGGTCGACGAGTGAGTGGTAGTAGTTGCCTCCGTGGTGGTACACAAATGAAACGAGTCCTTTGCCTTGTAGTGAAACTGCACATAATGAAGCAGGAAGCCAAAAAACTGAAGTCAGAATATAGGTAAAAAATGAACCATTTTGCAAGGAAGGCGCGCTACGGATCCCCCAACTCAGTCATTCTCTCACCTGTCCATCCGCATGACACCCCTGCCTGCTGAAGTGCTTTGATTCGTTAAACACCAGTCCCAATGCAGACATAAGCACGCCTTTCATCTCGAAATACTGTGCAACGTAGCGCTCGTGAGAGAAATAGTCCTGCCTGTGCCCGTGCTTGCACGATAATCCCGCTGTCCCATCTCCACCTGTCACAGTAACACTCGCCACAGCAGCAGCTGCAGCTACACCAGCAGCTTCTTTAGGTGTCAGTTTCGTTCTCCCAGGACAGTTCTCGGGCTGCCCGGGAAAAACAATTTCCTGGTCAGCAAGTTCTGGCTGGTGGCATGCCCGAAGGTTGGGGAAATGTGGTCCGCATGAGCCCATATCCGGACAAATGGCCCCTTGGCATTGCACCTTGATTTCATCTGGGTAGGTCTCCTTGTGGTAATTCAGAAAAGCACTTGCGAGGTCCTCCCGGCTTATGTCTCTCCGGAGCGTGGCCGTAGGAAGTGTGCTGCTATCCCAGCTGACCAACTCGGAAGGCAAGGAAGAGGCTTGATCAAGGAGCCCTGCGATACACGAGAAATGGAGAAGGGATGAACGCATGACACAGGTGAAGCTCAAAATGTTGTAGTCCTGGACCCAACTTGCATATCATCCAATAAGTCAGGATCGGCTCAGGAGGTCTATTTTGGCGGCGCTTCGAGAAAAGCCAGAATAGTCCAGGAGGTAAAAATCAGCAGCCGGCGTACTAGCGTACACTACACAACTGGCTGAATGCAAGAGAATGATGGCGCTGAGATTCACTATAAGCAGCCAAAAACAACTTCAATTTAGCACAAGGGTGAGTCAAGTCTCAGGATTGTCGTGAGTGCAAGTCAATCATCTTTCAGGAGTCATTACTCTGTGGATGAAGACTATATGATGGAAAAAATCTCCAAATCTGCACTGGGCGGAGCTAATGCGTGTATCACTAACCAGCAACAAGGGTAAGGGCCATCAGTGGCAACACATGGTTCAATGGGCTTGGTAAGGCGGAGACTGTCACATGCTTCGTCCCTGGAAATCTCTCCAGCGATGCCATTTAAGTCTCCTCGGAGGTGATCAAGGGTGCTACGCAAAGACTCGTTCCTTCTAATCCCGTTCGGAGGCGTTCGAGGTGTTTTGAGGATTTGATGACGAAGGTTTCATGTAACATCCGTACCCAACCCCAGCTGGTCTCGATACGTCGAACCAGCTGAGGGAGAAATGTGGGGAAATCTGGTTGGTTGGGAAAGCGAGACTTACGGGCAATTCAGGATTGATTGGGAAACCAACCAATCGAAATTGTTGCTGAGTCAAACTTACGCAATTGGTTTGAGCTTGTTCAAACATAACCCACGTAAGTTCACCTCATCACTAATTCAACCAATCAGATCACAGCCCCAAGAGTGAGTCGACAATGTTTCCGCCGCTCACTTCAAACACAACCAATGAGAAACAAATACAGGTTTGTGATTGCTATGCAATTCTTATCCTTGCTATCTAAAATGTAATTGGTTGAAAATCTTGTTTGTTGCCACATGGGCAAGACCCAAGGGAGTGCACCCCTCCTTGCCATGGGGAAGGTGGCTGCACCCCAAGGGGGTCTAGGGAAGGGGTCTGAAGCCTCTTGGCTCATTCCTCATTTCCTACTCCCAACAAATCAATTGGGAAATAGGATTGTCTTCTCCTCAACTCACCTTCCACAGTTTGTTACTGCATCTCCTAGCACTCTCCAGACTTAGTGATTTCCAGGAGCTGTTACTCTCTGTTTGTGTTAGAACTTATCTTTATATGGGTAAATGCCCTTTTTCTTAGTAGATCCGTTACATTGGTATTCAGAGCTATTAGTAGATCCTCGCCTTGTGGGCATATAAGAGGATTTTGTGGATTTTTTTTTTTTTTGAGAAGTTGTGATTGTATTGTAATCTCTATTATAAAGTTTTTGAAGACTACAAGCTCAAGCTCAAGTTTTCAAGACTTTGAAGCTTCTCCAAGAGTTCTCAGCCCTCCCTCCCTCCCTGCTGGTGGAACCATTGGAGCTACTGTGAAGGACCTGTGTGTATTAACATTCTCTGTTGAAGACAATCACTTTGTGATTGTTCTTGCCTTATCCACTGCGGTGGTAAGGATATTTTGCAACAGAGGTGTTTTTCACATTGCTGTGGTTGTAAGATCTATTGAAGAAATTTCTCCTTTG